CATGCTCCTTCTCGAACCCAATTTAAAGCACTATTAGACATTTGTTTATGCGAATTTTCGCGCTGGCGAGGATACTGCCCCGCGCTGAGAACATAAAGAGCAGTGCTACACCCTTTTTTCACTTGTGCCTTTCAGGTGAACGACAGCCACTGACCGACAAGAACAAAACCGACCCGGGAGACTTGGGCAATAGCCTCGATCCTGTGTATCAATCCGTGAATCCTTGAATCCGTGAATAACGATGGTGAGTGTTAGCCCAATGCTAATCGTTCAAACTGAATTCAAGGTCAAAATTGCGATTCAATTACCGCGGTGCTCCTTGTAATTTTTACATTCTCTTGTTCGCAATAATCTGTGTCCTTGAATCCGTGAATAACGATGGTGAGTGTTAGCCCAATGCTAATCGGTCAAACTGAATTCAAGGTCAAAATTGCGATTCAATTACCGCGGTGCTCCTTGTAATTTTTACATTCTCTTGTTCGCAATAGATCTGTGTCCCTTCTTGGTGAGTCTTTTTCCGGTAGCAGTTACTTACAACAGCGATAGTGGCAAAAATTATGAAACTAGGAGCTAGCTTGCTCCCGAGGTCAGCATAATCCATCATATCAGCATCTCACGCTAATCCAAAATCTGAATTGATATCGGACTGCTTCTACACGTTGACTTTGTAACCACTCTCCTTAATTCGTAATACGCATCTGGCTCTCACGCACTGTGTCGTGTTCATATATCTTGTCATAAAGCTTTGCGTCCTCGGTTCCCAACTAGCGGCACTTTTGTTCCAGATTCGGGATATCTACCTTTGAATTGGTCAGTCTATTTTGCACAGTGTTTTAACAGATAGGAGGACTACAGATCCGAGAGGCCGGTGTCCGTTTTAACAGAGATGGTAGAGCGAGTTGTAGACGCATACGTATAGTCCTAATTTCATACGAAGCATCAGGGATCTATCCATGGTTTGAAATCTATGACCAAGCAAAAGTGTGCGAAGTCCTGTTCAGTAAAATCCGTCGCGCTGGCATCTGTCGCCTTTTGGATGTGGACCCCGCATATTATTCAGCTGTCAAGAAACCATCAAGACACCAGCGTCGAAGCCACCGTAGCTATCATAATTCGTACCACCAGACAGCTAAAACGACGCAAGCTAAATAATCCCGTTAGACCAATTTTCGAGATGCGTTTCGTTCCACTGTTCCTCCTATCCTCCATGAAAGGAACTGTTGTAGCTGGAGCCAACTTGTATGGTAAACCAAACTAAGTGCATTTTATTACGCCATTTTTTGAGTTTTATCAAGTAATGAGCATAGAGCTTTTAGTGACAGTTCTGGACGCAGTATATCCATGTAGAGTACTGTTCCAGGAGAAACATTAGGTCATCAGACCAGTTCAAGCGGAACCGCAATCTTTTACCACTCTTCGGACTGTCCGAAGATCAAGAATCTTCGTTTTATATGGATCATTTAGCTGTAGTACCCTTCCGGTGCCTAGCCGCCATGTCACCCGAAGGAAGCACGAGGTCTGAGATACTGCCAGGTTGCCCAAGATTAGATAGGGGAAGTTGAGATGAAGAGGTCAGGTTCGAACCACGGACCTTTCGGTCCGCGTGCTCTAACCATTTGAAACATCTCGCCCATATCCGTTCTATACGGATACTTTACTGGTGCACGATGTAGCAGTTTAATGAACGCAGGCTGGCCGAGTACCGGAGTTGACTGTCTTTCGCTTCGGAATATAGTACCTAGACAGCAGTATTGCCTTCTGCACTACTGCTGCTGAGCTCGAGATAAGACTCGATGACCGGATGGTCGGCGGTTTGAACCTCACCCGGGCATCTTGACCGTTCCTGTCTAGTTTTGCGCAACCAGGAAGTCCTCCCTCTTCATTTTTGTGTGGCACCAAAAGGGCGTTACGGCCGAGCTGTTGGTTGACAGCTTAGCTGTAACACGAAGAGACTAGACCTTACCGTGTTGTGGCGTTTTGTGTACCTTGGTGACCCATTGAGCTACACTGGGGAGAGGTGTCCGCGTGGCACTCACAGAGTCTCATACCAGGTTGGTTCATGGGAAGAGGTCTGGCGAACACAGTCTCCTGGTCCTCCAGGTTGGGGGTTGGAACATGTATGGCAACGTGTTCCGTAAAAATGGTAATGTACTTGCATTTCCAGCCCAAGGCCTTGGTTGAGGACCCTTATCGTCCTGTCGTCGTCCTGCCCTGGCAGTATCCCAGCCCTCGTACAACCATGACATACACAACTAAGAATACTCTCATGCCGCATCGGCCGTCGCGTGGTGCCATCAGCCGAGTCGCCTTACTTGCTGCATACAGCAGGGCTGGTAAGCGAAAACAGACTACCGCTGACGCCTCCCTTCTTACACTTTCACGTTTTTCGTCTTCCACCCCCTCTGCCCAAATTTAAGTACTCTCTCCGCAGGTCCCAGCTCTGGGACTGGCAGTTTTGCTCGTCCTGTATCACACTCAGCTACAGCTTCTGTACGCCTGAGTTCAGTCACAACCGTAAACAATTCGAAGTCTGTTTTCAAACACCGAAAGCCTGTCTACTTAGCCACCTTCAATGTTCGCACACTGAAGTGGACAGGTCAACAGTCGGCCCTTGCGCGTACGCTGGATTCCCTCTGTATTAATATATGTTGTCTGTCAGAAACAAGGACGCAGGACGCAAGTGCAGTGATCGAACCGACTGCTCCTCGCTCTCTTCCAGGTTCCGGCTGCGCACCTCTGGTGATGCAGAGGCCACTGCAGCTGGATATGTTGGGGTGGGTATTGTAATGAGCGAACGAGCGGAAGCGTCTCTGCTTGATTGGATACCCGTTGAAAGTCGCCTCTGTGCTCTTCTTTTGGCAACATTTGTGAGAGAATTTTGAGGAAGTGAGGTTCATCGCCTTTTGTTTATTGTATCTGCTTACGCCCCAATCGACTGTAGCTCTGAATCTGCCAAGGAGAGTTTCTATGACGCTCTAGGTGCTTTTCTACAGCAGGCTAAAAGCTCAGATATCGTTGTGGTTGCTGGTGGTATGAACGCTCAGGTAGGTAGACTAAACGCTGCTGAGGCCCGCTTGGGTGGTTGTCTTTGCTGGGATACGAGACGCACGGACAACGGAGACCGCTTACTTCAGATGTATGCCGATCACAGACTGTTCCTTTGCAGTACGAATTTCCGGAACAGCGGAAATCGACAAACAACGTGGTGCCCACCAACAAACCAGCGCCGAATCGAAGTAGACCACATCGCCGTCATTTATCGGTGGCCAGCGTTGATCACTACCTGTCTCTTCTTGTGGAACACCAGCGTGGACTCCGAGCATGCACTTGTGCGCTGCTGCTTCTCGTTGCGCCTTTCAGGTGTACGCAAATCGCGCACACCCCACTTAGCCATTGATAAGCTAGTGGACCCAGAAGTCAAACGAAACTATCAGAAGTAGTTCCTCGAGTACCTGCCGGACGTCACGGTGTCGGATATAAATGGTCACTGGGAAAAAATACCCAATGCGCTACTCAAAGTCGGAATGTCTGTTTACGGTACAACCAAACTCATCCAAGCATTGGATCTCTGATAGGACCGAGTCACTGCTGGAGACCCGGCGACAGATTCCACCTGGCCGCCACCACAACTCCACCCGGCGCGTTATCAGTCACCAGGTGAAACTGAGTGTCCGCGCAGATCGAGAAGCTTGGTAGACCCGAAAGGCTGATGAAATGGAAGACGCAAAGAATGCTGGAAACGTGTGCAAACCGTTCCACCTGATTCGTTTGACTGGTCCTCGGAAACCTGTCAGCGAAACAATCAGAGACCAATATGGCTCCCTGATATGCATCAAAGCGGAACGTTTGGACCGTTGGGCACGGTAATTCGAGCAGCAATTCGGCTGGCTACCTGCAACCTCCAATCCAGAATCCTGACCTCCAACAGAAAGGTGGACCATTAATGTGGAGCCGTCCTCAGTCGTAGAAGTGTTAGTGTATTTCTCTACTCAAGCGTCAACGCGCTGCTTATCCTGACGACCTTCCACCTGCTCTTTTCAAGGATGGCGATCGATTCCTCCGCCATTGCCTGTCCAGCCTACTTGGGTCTATCTGGGAGAAGGAGACCGTAGGAGATCATAGTGCCCATTTTCAAAAAGGGTATTCGCAGTGAATGTAGTAACCCCAGGGTTGTTGGTTTGACGCCTGTTGTGACAAGGCTTCTGGTGTCAGTGATTCTTCGTCGTCTCAAGGTGGCACCCGAAGCCTTGACTCGTGAACATCAAGCGGGATTTTGACCGGGTAGAGGCTTCGCTGACCACGTCTCCACACTCCGTCAGGTGTTAGAGCAACGCCATATGTACAGGCGACCCACAATCCTAGTATTCCTTGACTTCAAAGGTGCGTTCAATTCCGTCGATCGATCAGTGCTGTTAACTACGTTTGCTCAACAGGGTATGCCCCAGAAGTTTGTAAACATAATCCGATCTCTATATTCACCTACTTCTGGGCGGGTGAGGGTATATGGTGAGCTCTCCAAAAGCTTCCCTACAGACAAGGATGTCCACATTCCCCATTCTTGTTCAACTTCGTCATCGATGAAATAATGAGGCGAACACTGGACGGTCTTCGAAACCCCGGTGTTCAAATTATTGCTGGTAAGAGCCTTGTTGATCTGCAGTACGCAGATGACATCGCCCTCATCTTTGAAGACCAAAGCGAAGCACAAGCTCTGTTGAACAAACTGACCACCATCATACCATCTTTTGGCATACGCCTTGCACCTTCAAAGTGCAAAGTCCTGCTTCAGAACGTGCCATCTGCGAACATATCTTTTGCAATTCAAGGAGAATCACTGGGGTTTGTAAAAAACGACGTACCTCGGTAGTTGTATTAGCTCTGACGGAAGTGTCTGATGAAGTCAGTGCAAGAATCTCAAAGGCTCGAATCACGTTTGCTAATTTGCGTCACTTGTGGCGTCCAAAAGGCATCTCACTGGATCTTAAGGGTGGTGTGTACCAGGCTACAGTAAGGGCTGTGTTGTTGTATGGGTGCGAGACATGGCCTTTTCTGGTAGAGGATGTGAGGCGTCTTCAGGTTTTCGACCACCACTGCCTCAGAAGCGTAGCTGGTTTCGGATGGCTTCAGCGTATCAGTAACGAGGCGATTAGAAAACGGGTATTCGGTTGTGCTACAGGTAACTCGATCCGGATCATCTCTCGTGTTTTGTGATCAACAAAGCATATTCTATCTCTGTGGCTTGTTTGTGAGTGTGATTTACTACGTTCACAGTCATCATCAGTGTTGTTCATTGAGCTGGAGGTGTACGTTTTTATTAAACACTGAGTATGCTTCAGGCACGTAGTAGTGCATTTTAACTGAGACAGACCTAGGTCCCCTCCCTCACCCACTCTTTTTCTCTTCTCCTCACTATAGGGCTTTTAATACAATTATGTATTTATATAAACATATATATATATATATATATATAACTAGACTAACCTTAGGGTTGTACGGCAGTGAATCATCAATGTCAACACTGATGTTGCTGTCTTTGATGATGATGTTAATAGATTGATTGATTGACTGACTGACCCACTCGGTAGTATCTGTACCGAGTAACTCACGCAAACTGTCACAGTAATGCACCGATATATTTCGCCGTAGAACAGATCCGTTTAATTTCAGTTGTTAATTTACCATTTGGTCCATCTTTCAGGTAGTTCTTACCCTTTCCGACAAATCCTTTCCTGTATGCACCGATTTAATGGAAAAGAGAACATGCGTTGCCGTCCATGCCGGAGCGGGATACCATGCCAGATCGAAAGAGCAACTCTACAACTCCTTGTGTTCAGAGGCTTGCAAAATTGCCAACACTTTACTCGTGAAGGGCAGTAATGCTGTAGACGCCGTTGCCGCAGCAGTGCAGTATCTAGAAAACAGTGATCTGACTAACGCTGGCTACGGTAGCAATTTAACGCTCAACGGATTGGTAGAGTGTGATTCTGGTATAATGTGTGGAAGAACCATGCGGTTTTCTGCCGTGGGTGCTGTATCCGGTATCCGGAATCCAATTTTACTATCGCATTTATTATTAAAGGAGCAGTTGAGAAACTCTGTTACGAGATTGGGACGTGTTCAACCAACTTTACTGTCCGGAAGCGGAGCGGTCCAGTGGGCAGCGTTAAAAAAACCTGCACTAGTCGAACCGTACAACCTCGTTTCCCATAAATCTCGCACAGAATGGAAAAAGTATCGACGCTGGTTGTCAGAAGTTGAATCAAAACCCACTGAACCCCCACCAAAGAGACTTTGCACTTCTCCACTAGACACTGTGGGTGCTGTCTGCATAGACAAGAGAGGAAGCGTAGCAGCGGCAATCTCCAGTGGTGGGATAGCATTAAAACAAGAAGGACGAATTGGTCAGGCTAGCATTTATGGCTGTGGTTGCTGGGCTGAAGAAAGTCAACTCGGTAAAGTGGCTGTTGTCACATCAGGTACTGGAGAGCAGCTCATTCGGACACAATTGGCACAGAAGGCAGCCGAACGTCTGTTAGCACCCTCCCCCACCCCCACCCCGGAAACTCTGCAGTCAGTTTTAACAACAGACTTTATAGATTCCCGGTTACTCGCGAATGAGGAACACAAGTTTGCTGGTATTGCCGGTATCTATTGCTCTGATGCAGACTCTGGGAGCATCGAGGTATTTTTCGGACACACAACTCGTTCAATGAGCGTCGCTTATTTTGTGGAAGATGCTATGTCCATTCCTATAACTTATGTTTCTCGTATTTCACCTGAGAAACCTCTACGTGTTGACGCTTTTGCTCATCGACTTCAACGAAGTTGATAAGCTTGTACATTATAAATTGTTCACGCTGCTTCGACTTTTCCTATTTTATCATTTGTTTACCATGGTGAAAAACTGTTTGCATTTTTCCAGATGTCTAAGCGGGGGAATCGTGATGATTCGCTTGACCCGCACAATGACCTCTCCGGGGATGATTCACAATCATCAAGCATGCTCGCCACCAGGAAACGCCGCCGTTTAGCCAATGCGTCACAAGTATGTTTAAAACCTGTTTCTTTTCTGTGCGCGATGACTTCGCAGAAGAATTTGCGTCGCTGGCAATCTCACTCTGTTTAACACTACCCAAATTTGCAATCCGTGTCACCCCACAGAAACCGTCGCTAAGAGTGACCCCAGTTTAACTTCTATGTTTTTACCTTCCTTTATATTTCACCCCGTAGTTTCCTCTGAAAGCTTCGCAAACAACTGTGAGCTGACCCTACGCTGGCTCAATTTATGTAGTCAGCTTTATCAGTCTACCAGAATGGGTCAAAATTTATGAGTAGGACGGCTGAATGAAAAAGTCCAGTGTAATAATAAGAAAGCAGCCGAAAACGCCAGAGTGAGTTCGCGACTTCTCGCCTACTGAGCGAGTGCTCTATCTGTCGGACATTGTCTGAGGGTTCTACACACGCACCCAAAAGATCAGGAGCCCATGATTATTCATGCCACTAGCGAGTCCATCGTATGATCTCCGTTGCAGGTTAGACGTTGCTGTTTGTAATTCGAAGGGATGTCGCGATGTACATGTGGGGATTTGGTGAATTCTGAAGTGCACATTCTGTCAACACAGACGGTGCCTCCATGCTTTCATATGGAGACAAACAATATCCGGTGTCTCATTCCAGGTGATACCAATCTGCTGAGTAGCCCATAAGCTTTGTGGTTGTTTCATTCTTGTCGTGTGCAGCATTGTGCATCTAGAAAATCTTTAAACAAATTCTAACCCGCAAGCACCCGGTTAGCAGTCGAGAAGACTACTATTAGGCCACCAGTGACTGATCAGCATTGCAATGAACTCCCACTAAGACACTAAATAGGGTCGCTCATACTCCAATCACGCGATTCGCGTTATAGTTACGTGATAACGGGCCCCTCGAATGATGACTTATCGAAGGGAAGTAATAAAGACTAATTTTTGTTTCTGATGGTTTGTTGATAGTGTACGGAAACTCGTACGGAAACTCTGAACCATTAGGTGCTACTGTTTCACCTTAATTGATTGTAGACTGATTGAGATGTATTATGCTTCTACTGATGCAACAGGCAGTAGCGACCTTAGTCGTTTTTGGACTGTTGCTTTAAGGTTGAATTGAGTTGAATCGTAAGTATTTTTATTGAGGTGTTGGACTTCACATAATAGCTAAACTGTTTATGCTCAACTTAACCTACAAGATCTCAAAGTTAAAACCACCTGAATAAACAGGCGCACATTACTCTTGTTGACTCCTCGAAACGGATTGATACAAACTCTTACAGAAACTTGATGCTTACGGTTCGCCACCGTACCTTAGATGTACTTTCCGGACATTCCCTCAGTAAAATCAAGTGAAAACCAGTGCGTATACCAGTTGTTGGCAAGGAGAGATGTTGAATGGGTTGGCTTTCAATGGTTATCATCCCATAGCTCTCAGCACCTTATCTTCGGTTCCCTTGCTCGAAGCCATTAGCTAAGTTACTGTCGAAACAATTCAGTTCATATTTTACGAGGCCGACGACTGTCTGGTCGGCCTTTTATACCCCCTTGTTGCGCCTTCATTTCCTCCTTTGTCCACCGGACCGTTTATTATTGTGTAGCTGGAACTCTGCCAGGAAATATTTGACGGCATTCGGGCATACCGCAGTGAAGAGGGAACTCTTTCGGAAACGTTCATGCGGCTACCCACAAGACGGTACGTTTTTCTCATTTTTTTGGTTCCGATACCTTCCAAATCACATCCTAGTGCCCATTCCTATGAAAACTCCCTGTTTAGCATGCAGTTCTTGATCTAGTGTCGGAGTTTTCATCCTCGGCAGGTTCGTTGTGGCATCTTGTTGTAGCCAAGCTCGAACATGTTCCTAACAGAGGCTTCGCTTGATCTACCAGTGTTCGAACCTGGTTCATCATACACTAAAAACAGTTGTATTCGAACTATGCTTGTGAGCTCCGACTAAGTGTCGAACCTGAAGCCTGAGAACTGGCCATACTAAATTTTTATTAGGTGATTCGAACCAGCTCCGTTATTCGTTTTCGTTTTACGGTCATAGCTCTTCAGAACGTTCATCTTTCTCGGTGTCAAGCTCATACAAACAATAATATTATAAGTAATCGTTCAGCTCTAACACTCTTTTGGTGTCTAGCTGCCATGCTACCCGAAGGAAGCACTAGGGCTTAGATACCGCCAAGTTGCCCAGATTGAGATAGGAGCAGTCGAGTTAGAATAGTTGAATTCGAACCGTGGACCTTCCAGTCAGTAAAGCTATCTTGAGCTCCTCGCTTTTGCGATATCACTGCAAAGACATGGCCTGAACCCCAGATTACCAGCCAGATGAGATTTTTCTACCATTGCGACTCATCAGATTAACGTATGAGGGTCAGACAATTGAACCTTCGGCTCATGATTTTAGGATGTTGATCACAAAATTCTGCGCTCGCTGGCTGATGTCGGGAACTTGGGAATTCGAATTGGGCGTGAAACTTGGTCCGATGATTATTTGGATAAGAAACTTGTCTAATCCCAAGCAGCCAAAGTGGCTAAGGAGGCTTGTAACTCTACCTTGCTGGAGGCCCAATTATATCTATTCGCTTACACTGAGTCCTTAGGAACGTTCTGTTTTGACGAAATATATCCTTGGATCATGTTTAACCTTACATCCTGTATATTTACTGGAAAAATTTGAACTCAGTCAGCGAATCAATATTGTCTGTACTCTGTGAAATTATGGCAGATTTTCAGCTGGAATGTGTTGACTGTTACTTGAATGTATCTGCAATCGTGTGTTAACTCGATGCACTTCCCATCCTCCGTGTTCTGTCTTTCAAAGACAAAGCCTGGCATGCTGTTTGTCAGCATAGTTTAAGGACTCGAGTCGCTCACTCTATAGCTTTGCGTCTTAGTGTGATTTTTTCGTCCACCCAACTCACTTGTCTTGTCAAAGCCTGATGTGGTAGATACAAATTTTTTCCTTGTGACTCACTCTCGCTCATCCCATCAATGTTTATAGGATCATGGGTTTTCTTTTACCACCAGATCCAATCCTGAATACTACGAGGCGGTTAAGGAACCAATCGACCTAGCTCGGATACAGGCCAAAATAAAATCTGAAGAGTATGAGAATGTGGACAACATGGCTGTTGATATATATCTCCTGGTGGCAAACACCAAGGCCTTCTATCCTGCTTCCACCGCGGAGTTCGCGAAAGCGGTAGAACTTCAAGAAGTGTTTGACAGGGAGCGTCAAAAAGTGCAAGCCTTAGCAGCCGCCAGTGCTGCGTCCAGCACCAGTTCAGCTAGTAGCCGCGGTAAGTTATTCTTTTAGAATGAGTAACGTTTAACTTGCTTATATCTTTCGGTTTGTTTAGGAAAGGCTCACTCAGAGTGCTCAAAGATTGCATCGCCGTTATTTCGAAACTAACACCGAATAGGATAGCCATGCGATTCTATTACTTGATCAGCTGGTCACATGTGTCCTAGCGTCCATACGACTCGCTTTTGGATGCAGGGCTGATGAATGTTTACGCTTCTGAAATGGTCAGCAAGTCTGCATAGGTGCAAAGGCCGTCGCAGTTTACACGTGATGTCCCATATCCGGTACATGGGCTGAAATGGAACGGGTTATGTGTTACGGTTCGACCACGCAGCGAGAAAACAATAAGATATGCAGACTGTGACAATATTCTATCCCCAGCTATGTTACTTGTTCCAGACTCCTGGCACGGCGAATAGTAAGAAGACGAAAAACCTCGGACATAACTTTAATGATCCATACAACACGCGATCAATAGGCGAATCAACGAAAAAATGACAATGCATATATATACATATATTCATAGTTTGACCTTGAAAAATGCCGGAAGTTCGTCAGCACACAAAGATACAGAGTTTTTGGGAATATTGATATCCCCAACATTATGCTACATTGTTACTTTGTCTAAAAGGCAGCAGGGAACATCTTTTCTCATAGGTATAATCAATCTCTGTCCGTTCGTGGCATATGCGTTGTAATAAGGGCTGCAAAACCTTATCTGAACTGGTAGGGCATAAAAAACCATAGACTTGAAGGAGTGACAATAAAAGACTCTGTTCCACTCATCAGTTATTGCTAGACTTTTTCGATTGGTATAAAGACAGTGGGACCACAAGTGTTTTGGCAGAATCCGTCTACGGTTCTGTAATAAGCTAAAGTGGGTTAACTATCTTGACAGGTTCATTCAACAACATTAGTCAATACGAATTCAATAGACTGACATCTGTTTCTGAACTCACTTACCACATTGAATTGCGCCGATGCCCCACCCAGGTAATGATACACGTGTTTTACCTGTGCAACCTTCTGAAGACTCAGCGACCTGCTGTAAGCCAGAACCAATGTATATGCAGAACCATCGACATGTCCAGATAGCCACACAGTAAATATTAGGGGTAAAACCCATAGTCTATACACAGGGTAACCCGGCAGCCCCAACCACATGTGATAGGTCCCCAGGGGCACATTGCTGATATAATCCAGTAATCAGTTTCGTCTGCGCGATGGTGGCCATGGAGAGTCACTTCTAATACGTTCGTGGGCCGTTAACTCCCAGGATATCCGACTTGTTGAATTGGGTCATTCGCCGATCCAAATGAAGGTATTTAAACATTTGCAATCGGCGGTATCCGATTCAGGTAAACCAAATACCCGAATTACCAATAAGCTAGACTCATATGACCTCTTTATGGTGTTCTCAAGGGAGCCAACCACAGGTTGATTTGATTCTGTCCGTGAGACACCACTACACCAAAGAGTTTTGGGTCTCGTATATGACCAGACTTTTGAACTCAGTGATGTCTCCTTCGAACGCACCGGTGACGTGTATTATTAAGAGGTCAATTCCAGATTGCATGCGTGCCACGTCTCATGGCTAGCCGTAGTTCAGTCTGTTTTAGTCTTTACGACAGTAGAAGTCACTCCACGCACCATCCAGAAATAAATGAACGATGCAAGTTAGAACTGGTACTGTAAGATCCAGTTTGTCCATTCATCCGCTCTCACGGACGTCTGAGCCTCTAACCAACCATTTAGCATGTCAGATTAACCACGTTTTTGCAGACAAAGCCGCTTCGAACTTTTGTACATTCTCGTTGTAGTTGTTCGGCGTGCCAGTAGAGGTCGGGTGAGGAAACGAGAAGAGCTGGATGATGACGAAGTGAGTGCAATGTTTTCTATGTGATGAGTGTGTGGAAAATGGAACCAGCGTTAAGTGATATGTATGTGGAACAAATATCGCAGTTAAATCGGACAATTTCTGCCAACTGGGGATGCGGCTTGAGTGGATATAGGGCTTTTCACCTAACGCGACAGGATGGACTGAATCACCAAACACCCGCAAGTGTATAATAGTTAAAATGTTCTGAGTCAGATTGATCATAGTTACTGTTTTGTAAGTAGAAGTGGATATGATAGATCTCCAGATAGAAATCACAAGCACACAAATGGGTAATAGCTCACCAATATTCTTTTGTTCTGTCTCCCGAATGTAGAGATAAGTTAGTTGGTTGGCTTTTCTGCTGTGACCTATAGAAGAATTTCTTTTCTATTAGGTGCAACAAATTCATGAGTTTGGTTTCAGCCATGCTTCGGAATGTAGGACTTTGCTTCCTTCCAACAATGACTGCTTGCTCCAATTGACTAGAAATCCTTTATACTACAACTTCGTTTGATAATGATTGTTAGCTTCACACGCATTGCTCATTTAAACGGTGTGCCTCTTGTTCTGGCTATGGTTAATCCTCAAAAAGCGGAGGAGTTCTGAATTCGCTTTCTTCTGTTTGTAAGTTTTGGTGATGCCGGTATTTGAACCTCTGGAAATGTATTTTATGGAGACCGTGCCATCGCTACTCCACTAGCTCATACCAGACACAAGAAAATTGTCACGTATGAACAGACTAATGTCATCTCTGGTTTCTGGTTAACCCAGCTTGGGCGTTTGGGCTGCCTGTTTGCCTGATGTGGCGACCAGACGAACAGTCAGACAACGCACCCTAGCTGCCCATATTTCTCAGCATTGTCGGCATCATCTTTGAGTGATCGATTGGTTTGTCCAAAACTTCCAATCTAGTGCTTTCTCCCGTTGGTGGAGACAGGAAAAGAACCATTCAAACGAGAGTAATATGTATGCAGAATCAATATATCGCGCAACACTAGGATTACGCGGACTATGTGGTGACTGGTTACCGTCCCGTCCATTACAAGTGTACTTAAAATTTCATGTGGCGTACCAGCGTTTAATACCCATGTTCCCTACGACACATCTGTTTCTACTGTAGTACTTTCCATGTTTTAGACGTTATGGACATTTTCTCAAAGTAGTAATTGCGATGCCCTTGTCTGCTTCTCCGGTTCTGTCCACTTATGTTTAAATGAGGTTTCCTTGAACAGTAACTAAGCGCTCAGCTATAACACATTTTTGTACGTGGCTGCCATCTCACCTGAAGGAAGCATCAGGCTTACACAAACCACTTACCTTCCGGTCACTAAGCTCGCACCTTGACCATTGAGCTATCTCGAGATCCTGCTCGAATGGTGCCCCTCTGTGTAGCTGTATGTGGCGAGTACCAATTGCCAAAGCCCTCCAGTATGTCTTTCTGAGGGTGCGAATCGGATTGAATACGAAGACGTATTCCCATGACTGACCCTTCAGAAAAAATAATCAATTGATCATTTTGCGAATGTCTAACTCGTGGACTCAGTTTATCATGGCGTATCTTTAGTCTACGTGTCAGATACACTGCCGGTTGCATTTCGTTTCTACTTTCTAGCTGGAATCTGCCTCTGTCACAGCCTCAGAAGATTCGCGAATTGCGCCTTCAGAGACCAGCATGACAAATTTCACAACGTCCAGTCAGAAGAGCCTTAGTGGATCGCTCGACAGTCCGTACGATCTGTTATTTTCCTCGATTGTGAAATATACTGGTGATGATGGCAGAGCGCTGGCTCCGACATTTACCTACCTTCCTTCGAAAGAGGTCAGTTGGTATTTGTGAGTGGTGCTGGTTTGTACTTCTGATGTAAAGCTTAAAGGTTCACAACCGATTAACTGCTGAACTGCTAATGTATGTTATCTATTCCATATTTTGGCGTTTTATAGAGTTCAGGACAGGCTACGGAAGATTGAAGCTAACCAAACGAATCCTCATGGAATACCTGAGGTTCCCTGTGGTTTTCTCTATTCTGTTTAAGTCGCATAGAGAGATTGACAAAAATGTGCTGTCAGCTTCCTGAGAATCCCTTAAGAAGGCATATATCCGGAGACGTCAATGTACACTTTCCCGTTTTGACTAGCATTTTATCCTGTTGGTAATGGGGGCTTCCATGTTTCCTTGTTTTAGTATTCATTATTGGTGTTCTTCACAAAGGACTGATTGCCTCACGTCATTTTTGGTCCCTTTGTTTCTTTACTCCTCAATATCAGATATACCCAGTCTATTATGCAGTTATCAAGGAACCGATAGACTTACGTATGATCGCACAACGTATACTCTCTGGCAGCTACTCTGCAATGGATGAACTAGAGAAAGATTTCGCCCTCATGGCGCGGAACGCCAAGACGTTCAATGAACCAAAGTCACTAGTTTACCAGGTAAGAATCGTTTTCGTCCGACTGATGTCACCCTCTGTATAATTCCGTACTCGTACTGATTCGTTGATGGCATTCATCATTGCCACCATTATCGTCCTAGCCAGGCCATCGTTCGGGTCAAGATTTCGTTTTACAACTCTCTGTCTCACGAGGTTCGATCGCGTGATTGCGGGATTGTGTTCAGCGGTGATCCCAGTAGTGTTAAAGTGTTATCTTGCGTTGTCTATCAACGCGAAACCTTAATGCGGGTCGCATGGCGCATGCCCCTGCTTCGGTTCTAATCGTAGCCAGCAGTCTGCCGTGTATTGCCGTAAGTGAAACTGTTAAGCTTTCGTAACGTATTCTAACTCGAAGAATCACCATCTCCAATCCGACTGAATTCAGTTCAGTGTGTTCAAAATCGTATCAGGTTTGTAAAATGTTTTGACACACCGATGAACGTGAGTGTTTCAGTCGGTGTATGCCAATTTGTCTCTACACACCTGTCACTTCTGAACTGTATGTTTTGTTGATGCATAACACAATGCAGACTGTTCGGCTAACCTCGGCGGTCCCTCATTGGCTAGACTACCACTACTGGCTCCAAACAAGGCAGTTCCAGCGGAAATACTGTACTTCTATTTATATGGTACTATTCGACTCGCCCACTACTCTACTTTTATGACCTAACATTTTAAATACTGCATCAATCTCAATCGAGTCCTGAGTGCGACTTCATCCGCTATAAGGTATGGTCGCCAGGGAGTACCATAAAAGCCAAGGCACTAATTGATGTGGTGTTATTGGTTAAGTGGTGTTTGTCCCTTGTCAATTCCCCTCTTGGAAACAGTCAACGGAAAGGTCTGCGTTAAAAGTCCTACAGTGTTCATTACGCGCCTACAATTACCACGCACTAGTTCTATGCAGACGGCTACCATTTCCTCCATCGGAAAAATTCAAACATCAGAAAAAATTCCATCGACTTCGTTGACTTATCTCACTTACCGTCACCTTCTGCCTCGAATTCCTCGACCTACTCTGAAGCATCATCTGGCTACACGGAAACAAATCTTGGTTAGAGTTAACAAGAATTAGAAATCTACAGATATTCGTGGCTTATCTCGAAGATTTTAGGTCTATAACAGAAAAAAACTCAACTGGATGAGGCTTTTCTTGTTCGAACTCATCACATTAGGGCGATTGCATCATTCCCGGACATGAACCCCGTATGCCTGAGCATTCTGGGATCTGATCACGTCTCTACTATAAACACCTTACTCATCAGATCCTCCATGAGAGACACTGTCAATTCACCTGATCGTGGTCCCTCTGTTTCTACTCAGTCAATGGCTGGATAGAACTAAGCCCAACTTCTGAGTTACGCCTTTCACTAAAATTTGGAGCATTTCTTTTACCTGGTTATTTTACGTTTTTGGTTGAGAGCTCTTCGTGATTCGGAACTCTGCATGTAGGGGTCGTGACTTAGTCGTCAAGGTTATATTATCTCATGTGTTTTGAAGCCAGCTGATGGAACTGTAATGTTGCAGAAGACACCCTTGTCGATTAATAATAACTTGACTTGATGGTTAAGCCCATATCTCTACTCACTGTTTATTTAGGATGCCGTTACGCTGATGCGAATATTGAAAGGCAAGAGAAGCGAAGCTGAACACCCTCCAGTTCGAACTAATCGGGAACGTGGAAAGTAAGTTTTTTCTTGGTGAACTTTTATACGTCTGTTGCTTATCTGAAAACAGTAAATTAAATTTTCTTGCTTTATTGAAAACAAGCTATTCGTTCAAATTAGTGTTAATTTGTTCCCACGCTTGGTCGTGTGCATTCTTTTAGGTTTCAGTTGTCTGACCGACGAGTCAGCTACCTTGCTGGTGTGTAGTTTGTGCCTACTTTCTGATCATGTTTTCACACTTCTAACATTCCTATCTGGCTTTGGTTATCTCCATTTCCTTGTATAGGCGGGCATCTCGACTAAACTATAATCCTCGCGATATCGTCGAAGAGTTCGCCTCTCTTCCTCCTGAGGCCAGTATCAAAAATGAGAGTAGCCAACTGGACAAATCTGAAGATTCGGAGGCTGAAGTACCCAGCAGCTCGGCAGCTGAGGACGAGGATGATACACGAGCCACTGGGAACACCTCCCAGAGTTGCTCATCCATTGCCTCAACACCAGGTAAACGCAAACGTGGTCGACCGCCGAAAAATCCACGACTGTCTGGTCTGTCTAGCCCCAGTTTACCGAGAGATTCACTTAGCAGTCCTCCTCCCTCGAGAAGCCCGCCGCTCTCGCCGTCTCCTACTCGAAGTGTCATTGATACTTCCACAAGTAGTCAGGCACCAAACATACCATCAATTTCTATGGTCGGACACTCAGCTGGAGTTTCACGGTATCGAGTGGGCACTGTCCGCTGGCGTCAGGCGCAGGTTTTGCAGGCCGTCCTTGATGCTCGAAACGAGGCTGGTCAGTTGATCTGCAATCCGTTTCTTCGACTTCCGTCCAAAAAGTAAGTTAATCTCGTAGTCGTCTGAACCTGCTAGCAACTGCCAGATCTATCAAAGTCTTGAACCCGACTAGCTCTCACCGAAGAGAGGCTTCCAGCGGGTTGTTAACACTGACAACGCATACACCGAGGTCTTTCCTGATCAAACCGTTGAGAATAAATTCATGTGGTTTCTTATGTGAGCGGGTCGTCTAATGACGGGTTATAAAATTCATATTAACAGACCTGATCCCTGGACCCTGGCTTCTTGCTTTTGGACGAGTTACTACTGGATTCCGTCACTAAAATCAATTTCCTGAGACCCTTTGTGGTCTTTTCAAGTTGAACTGGTTCCACTTAGTTTACTTTAAAGCTGTTTCCTCTTTGAGAAGCATGATTAGCATCAAGCTCCGGGCACGATAACACCCAGTTCCTGCTCCGCTATTTGGTGCCATATACTGCACTACAACATCAGCCCGGATGGCTGGAGGAGGAGCTAGATTTTAACTGAACTTCTGTGCGACAGGAGGAGGGTAGTAATACCTGGATTCTTCTGGTCTGGTTTGCGAAAGTTATGCGTAAACACCTTTAGGCGGCGTCTGTGATTCAATGAGGAAAGGTGTAGTGCTTTATAACAATGTTCTCTGGCACTGTTGTTCTCAGGCCTCGGGCGTAGCAGCGCCTGGCAAAGCGGTGTCGGTACCAGAAATTCTGCCTAATACAGGGTTTATAAGCACCGCTCGTAAAATCACTGAGAACAAGAAACTTGTCGGTCTTTCGAATTTAAAAAGCATGGGCAATATCGGACAACCTGTCAAACATTTCCGTCTCAATCAAAAACCGTTTTCTCTACCCCCACACACTCGAATGCGGGCTTTCTTGTTCCAGTTTGGGAATTGGTGAAATTCAGTTGCTTATCTGTCACGCTATCACCTTTTAAAATGCCCCGGAGACCTTCCCTATTAACTGAGTAAAATGCTCGATGGAAGTTAGGCGGCCGCAGATTGAATACTGGAGCTGGTGGCGATGTTCCAAAAATACACCTTGTGAATGGATGGTCAGATCGTCCTCTTCTCGAACAAATGTCTCTGACTTCGTCTCACATGAGACTCGGCCATCAGAGGCTGCGCTGTTGCAGTATGGCAAAGATTTCGAATGCCAATTTGATGTCAGTTTGATACTTCGACAGTTTCCACTTTTACTATCACTTTTTGAGGGCAGCGGGGAGTAGGAACACACCAATCAATCGAGACAACTTCAGTACCCCAAATTCAGTAGAACAGCTTTTGGGAGTTTGGCAGACAGATTTTGTGGGTTTTACGCAATGTGATCGTGACATTTTTGCACAATATCGGGAGCTTCACCTGTGGCACGTTAAGGCTTGCTCCCCACCGGCACTGGATATCAGATAAAAGACTGGTACTGCTTGAAGTTTGGGGGAATGTTTTCACCGGTCCTGCACATAGTTCACCCCGACCAGTTATCAAGTGAACGGTAGTGTGCGCGCCGACCTTGAAACCTGGTAGACACGGGCGAATAAGGAAACGGAAGAGGCGACGACTGCCGGGAATGCCAGAAAGTTACCTCGGTTGATCCATGCAACTGGGCGCAGGAAACCGCCCGTAAGTGGAACCACCAAGGATCAAATTGGTTCGGCAATCTTCATTAGATAAGAACGCCCCGGCCACTTGGTGTTTTATGATAGCCCCTAAAGCATTAATTCGAAGGCAGCAAGTAGGATTCCCGTCTGAAAAAAATTGTTTTGACCAAGACTTCACACTCCGTCAGAAGCCAGAACAACACCGTACGTATATACAATCCACTATTTTGGGATTCCTGGATCTCCAACGTACATTTGACAGGTCTTTTCTCCTTACCACATTTACTCAACAGAAGTCAACCCGGTAGTCTGTCAATATAATGTGTCCGTGTTTTCAGGCTTCCCAGTGTGAGTGTGTATAGGTAGTGCTCAAAAATCTTCTGTACATAAAGCGGTATCTCATGCTCACTCTCTATTCCTATTCAGTTTCTTGATCGACGAGGTGAAAGCTGACTCTTAAAAGCCCTCAAAACCCTGGATTCTCACGAAGAATTTGTCTGTCTGGAATATACGCCATCCTCATTAAAGAGTAGAAAGCCCATGTGTTTTTTGGATGAACTATCCGAGGCCAGCTCATCCTTTGGTATGCGCCTTACATTCACAAAGTGTAAGACCATACTTCTGGACATGTAGTCATTGAACAGGCCACTTAATCCAAAGGAAAGCAACCGAGACTGTGGAGGTTTTCAAGCATCCTAAAAGTTGTAGGAATTAATACATTAATCTCTAAGGCTGATGTTGCGTTTGTCAATTTGAGACACCTATTACGACAAAGAGGCATATCACTGAGCTTCAGGAGACGTGTGCATCAGCTTACAATACTGGCTTTTTGTTGCATGGCTGTGAGACCTAGCCTGTGTGAGCAGCGGAACTGAGACGTCTTTAGATCTTCGATAACCCTTGTCCAAGAGAAGATTATGAAAAATCAAAACATTCTCAGTGCGACTCTTCTTCCAAGTTGCTGTGGTCGTGAACCACACTGTGCATAGTTGGAGTTGCCTCAGAGTGTGGCTGCCAACCGATGCTAATGGCGTTGTTGTCAGGTTTTACCCAGAGTGAATTTCTGGGGGTGCAGGCACCTCGGAATGACCTTGGTAAGCTAGCACTAAGTCCCTTCCCCATTTACTTTTATTCGTTTCCTCGCAATAAGCTCAGGTAAATTATGGTTGTACGGCAGCAAAGCATCAGTGTTGAACACTGATGTTGAGCTGTTAATGCTGAGATCCCAATCTTGCGCACACAATCAACTTTGTTCTTGATCACATTACCCTCTTGCCCTAATCAGGTCTGAGTATCACTGTGGATTTATTTTCCTCCAAAGTGCGGAAGCAGCTCTGTATTCGTTAATAATTGAACCATTAATTGGAAGTCTCTTTGTCTGCTGTTGATGGCGTGTCCCTAGAGTCGACCTAAACTTTCATAGTTTTACGTCATTATCTGCTAATCCTAGGTTTGTACATAAAATTAGCAAGTTGAGTTTCCAACTCCAACTGACTACTCTTGTTTTGTCATGAGTTTCGATTCTAAAAGACAACTTCAAATTGCGTTCAGCTAAGTTCTGTAGCGGATAAATTATGTACATATTCAGCGGGGTCAGTCGGAAAAATTACGTCTGTGATTTATCACTGAAAGCCTGTATCATGGGTTTTTTTCTCATCAGCGGAAGCCACATAATCAATGAACTCTTCTCTCAGGACACGGGGTAGTTCGCTCAGAATGTATTCACGCTGTGCGATACTCCTTTAAGATACGACTAGCTACTAGAGCCAGCGACCGCTTTTACTTGTAAATCCAGTTAAATGGTGAAGGGCGTTGCTATTGTGATCATTCTTAGTTCGCCAACTGTTCATCAAACTTTCCTGGAACTTATAATTTACCTTTTATTTTTTGAGAGGGTTACTAAGTTAACAAAACAAACTTAGTATCTGCCGTTATTTCTATAAAAAAAGAACAAACTGTAATAATCTGGATAATCTTCCAGCACCGCACTCACTTTGCATGCTTTGTATGCGTCCAATTGGTTACTAATTACTTTCGAGTCTAAGCTGAACTCAATTTATTTGCCCTCTGTTCACAATTCAACGTTTCTATTACGTGCGCAGGTCCTCATCGATCCGTATAACACAAATTGGCGTTTATTCCAGCGGTTTTCCATTGTTCTTGCCGCTAATATTCAACGCACAACAATCTGCTTTTCCACCTCCTTTCCAACCCTAGAATGTATCCGGATTATTACAAAGAGATAGCCAACCCACTCAGTCTTGTGGATATCAAGAAGAAACTAAAGGTAGGCTTGCAGTTCGCCTCCCCCAGCTTTAAATCACCCCATTTCAGCAAAATGAACACTCGTCCTTAGAGTCCTTCATCAGTGACTTGGATACTGTCTTCAAAAACGCCCAACAGTATAACGTAGAAGACAGTCAAATCTACCGTGATTCGTGTACGCTGCAGCAGATTGCACACGCGCGCTTCCAAGAGATGCTAAACTACCAGACTGCTGTAAGCTCCTCGTTTATTGCTTGTCCAGTTCACTTCCATTAACCTCGGTTTCCTTTCAAAGTTATTTACAAACTTCATTTTTCAATCATGTCTATTCAGCCTACAAGACGAATTCAGTCGCCCTGTTCAACGACTAGTGTGGTTGACAGGTCACCCGGAGCACAGGGTGTGGAGGCTCATCACGCAGGCTTTCAGAGTACTCCTTTAAAGCGATCTTATAGACGCCCGCTTACCGCCGAGGAAGCGAAAGTCAGACGGTTGCGCAATCTGTTCAACACTGTTTTCAATTACGTCGCGGTAAGTATGGCTAGCACCATCAGTTGATTCTCAATATCCTCGGTTTGGTTGCGTAGTAGAAAAACAGGATAGTTTCGGATATGATTGCCAGCACCAGGTGTGGCTATTAATGGACTGTGTTACGTATTCTGGGAGCAATTTTTAAATGAACAAGTTACAGTGTTAGTCTATTATGATTGACTCGTGTGTTGCTTCCTTTTCATAGGCGATTGTAGTAACCTGACTGAATATATGTTCTTTTGTTTTACTTTTCCATTTCTAGGAGGATGGCCATCGCCCCCGTGATGTTTTCTTGGAGCTCCCATCTAAAGAAGATTACCCCGACTATTACAAGGTCATACCTGAGCCAATCGATCTAGGGATTATCCGGCGCAAAATGGAGCAGAATGAGGTTAGTTACCCTCAGTTTCCTCGTCGCTTCCCTCTCACATTGTTCTCACCATGGAGTCGTTTTTTCTTAGGCACAGTCGCAAATGCCAAACTAGTTGTCTCTTCGAAATACGATCAGGCTGATTTTGTTCCAGGTCGTCGTACAGCGGAAACCTATACCAAGTGTTGTAAAGCTGGATTACACCTCTGACTAAAATTCCGAACTGGTCATGAGCAAGATTGTGCAACCTGACTGAAGTCGGAGCCTCTACGTAGGCCACGTGGTAACACACACAGGGTTCTGTGTGGTGCGAGCGCGAAATTTAGATGGAGATGGAATCCTATTCTATCCGTTTTGGTACCTGCTTCTTAGTTTTTTTTCCTGTTAGGTATTTTCTACACAGTACGTGCATACGAAAATTCTGACGATAATACTTAGTTGCGATTGTCGGTTGTTATGTGTTCAATGAGCCCGTTCTATCTACTGAAGGTGGTGTGGTCACTCAAAACTGCTTCGTGACCAAAACCAGGTGGCGCGCGACTTTTATATTTTTTCTACGTAATACTTTCTCAAGTTGGAACCAAACAACCACTTGAAAACAGTGATGTCAACCTAGTTTCCTTTTAGTGGTATCCTAATCCAGCTCAGGTGGGCCATCATTCAGTCATTCATTCAGATTTGTCTATCAAGTCATTCGGCTGAAATGCTTAGTTTTAACTGTCCAACGAAGTTGACTTATATCCAGTGTGGTACCTTATTCTAAAGCCTATCTCTTTATCCCGTTTTTTATCCCAGTACAATACCCACCAGGAAATGGTCGCTGATTTACGTCTCATGTTTAATAATGCCCGTCATTATAACGAAGAAGGGTCGGGTGTTTATCAAGATGCGGTCACGCTGAACAAGGTGGTCACAAAGCGTCTGAAGAGTTTTGGTCCGTACCAAGGAAATATTCGCAAACGAGATTTTGTGGCCGGAAATAATCGTTCTGGACGCGCACCCGCTGGTGCTTTCAGTGGCTCTCCGTACGTCAGTGAATCTACTACTGATATGGCATGGTTGGTTTAGTCTTCTGTGTCAGCTTCTCTGGAATTGTTAACCACCAGAAACCACACAAAAATCCCATTTTTCGGTTGTTTTATGTATGGCGAGCGATGTTTAAGCGTATTGGCGACGGTATGTGGGGGGTGGTTTGCGAATGTCAGGGTTATCTGGCATACTTTCGCGGTTGATTTCCTGTTTTCAAACAAATTTGGTTACCTTTTCCCGTTGTGAGCTTGGTACTAAACATCCTTGATCCACCTATTTTCGGTCTATTCCTTTATATCTCTTAAAATTCAGTTACCTTTTGACGACTTGACTATTAAATCCATTAATATCCAGCTTTATGCAAATGAAATCCATAGCCTAACTGTTTCACTGGAATTCCTTTGCTAACGGCGCACTAGTTCTTGTCGAAAACGAGGCATCATTCATCGTCTAGGATCACATAGCGTGAGCCTTGACAGTCCGTGTAGCCTAAGCGATCGATGCTTAGGACATATCAGTTAGATTGTCCTCGTCTTAACGATGTCTTTTAGACCCTTGGGATCGTGGCCTCTATAAACGTATTACGTCGACTTATCCCAACACGTGGCCGTCATTCCGTTCAGAGTAGTTGGGCTTCGTTTTTTTCATCCTAATTCGCTATACTTTTAGCGAAATACAATCATTTACAAACAACTTTGGTTTTGCGAGAGACTCACCTGGAACCCAGCTGAATCTCTCATTTGTGAAGTTTCCAGACTGCTTTTGTTTGGTGACCGATAGATTGTACGTGTGTTGCACGCTTTATTTCCTATGCTGACGATGCAGCTTCATTAAACTGCACTTGTTGCACCACACGACCTAGATCGAACATTCCGACGTTATTTTCCTTCGGGGCCATTTAAGAGTTGATAGTAACGGCGAAATGGCTCAGTGATTGGAGCGCGAATTTACTGACCAGAATGTCCATGGTTCGAACTAGATTTCTGCCTCTCGACTTCCCCTGTCTATGTTTGGGCAACCTGGCAGTATCCCAGACCTCGTGCTTCCTTTGGGTTGTGCGGCAGTTAGGCACCGAAGGGGTGTTACAGCTGAACGGTTACTGGTTGTAGGCTATCAACAGGCAACGTCACCTTTGAACTACTATGTCTGTAATTGGTCAACAGCACCAGGCATTGGAGCAGAAACTGGGTGGCGCCGTGCTCGAACTTGCTGCTCATCGTGATTCCGGGTCGGCAGGGAATCAGGATATTCATGCAGCTGCCTCATCGATCTCCAGGGCGAGTGGTCTTTAGGTAAAATAAAGTAAGTAGGCAGCCTAAGCTTGCGTCCGAGGATGTATCACTTATATAGCTTATCATTCCAACCCGTAGATTTGGGTTTCTGATCTTCCGCACAACCAGTTATAGTGAAGAACATCACGATGAAAGGGACCATCGACTGCATTCCAGTTAGCACATTAGCATCAGCCTTCTATTGTTTTAAGCCGTTGTCTTAAAAGGATATGTGATGCAGTGTTTGATTTATCTACCTCCTAGCTGTTAATGTAATTTTTGTAAATGAATTATAGCCCCTGCCAAACATCTCACTGCAGGCAAGCTGTTGGTCCGGCTGGCGATAGCTATCGCGTTCCTATCAACGTTGTCGCTCCACCAAATACGGGTCCTCCTGGTTTGCAATCACATCTGCAATCCCAACCTGGTGTACCTCTTCTGCAGCGCGTGATACTTGAGCTTTTCCAAACAGTTCGTGAGTACCAGGTCAACGGTCGTCAACTGTCAGCACCGTTCATGCGACTACCAACGCGGGCCGAACTGCCGACCTACTATGAATTCATCAAAAAACCTATCGAATTACAAACAATCGCCAAACAGTTGATCCAGATGCGCTACACAGACTTCGAAGAGTTTACTGCCGATCTGTTCCTCATGTTTGACAATGCGTGCAAATTCAACGAACCGGATTCGCAGATTTACGCTGTGAGTTGAAGTTTTCTCTGCTTCTTCCTACTGATCCGTCTACCTAGCTGTGGGTCTAAATATGGTTGGAACGAGAATTACACCTGATTCGTGCTAGCGCTAATGTTTCTTAATGAACGGTCAAATCAGTGGATTTTTTCTCAAATCAGTGTAGTGTCCCAATGTGACTCTAAATGATTTCCGTGAGTGAGTACTCATTGACCACCCGTAACATACCTTGGAAATGAGCGGGCTGTGCAGATGATTGATTGGGGTTTCTGAAATATATTCTGAGTTTCACTTCTGGCCAGAGCTAATCTGCTGCATGACATCAGAGAGATATGTAGAAACTTTGGACGGATGCTTGGGAGCCGAGTTTAGAAGTTGACCTGTAAGCTGACCACGTATTCTACCGTCGCCGATGTGTTCGGATTATTATCTTCCTTTACCTGGCTGGTCTGTTGAGGTGCTGTTTCGAGATGTGACCGCTGTTCTATTGCAACCGTAACTAGTGCCACTGGTTTGAAGGGGACTCAACTGAAGGCAGATGCACTCATCCAAGTTAATCTTCTCTGAGGCACCTCGTTTGCGGCTCTGCTAATTCTTTCGAACTGACTGAGTACTAAAATATTTAGGTAGTTGAACACTGTTTTGTGTCACTCCCCTTTCCTACACGGTTATATTGTGATGTATTTACTTTTTTTCATTTTCCACCAGGATACGCTTATTCTTCATCGCGTTTGTCTTGCCAAACGTACAATGCTGCTAAACACTTTTGCTAGTCACTTGGGGATTCCACCTTCTGTAGCTCCCGATGTGGGAACAGGGATTCGTCGTCTTCTAACCAACATGCATAATGCGATGCTTACTGCGTGTGACACAGATGGCCGCGGATTAGTCGATTCTCTAATCGCCGGAGACGGAACAGAGACAACATTAACTTCTGCCACGGCTGCACGTCTGGCTGCCCTACATCGTGCTGTGGCTGCTGGATCCTACCGACGACTTGACCGTCTTCAGGGTGACTGGTTAAGAATACTGAAACGCGCGAGAATTGGTGAAGGCGAAGAGCAACCAAAAGAAGTTCGGAACCCGCTTCCGACTTTCCAGCAACGCCAAGATGCTGCTGAGCTAGCTCGACGTTGGGTGCGCCTGCGTGATGAGCTTTGCCATAGACAGCAGCGTCGACCAGTCAATTTCCCCTTTAGTTCATCCCCACAAGCTTCTAGTGGAAATGATACAGGCTCTGCTCTTCCATCTCACGTTGCTTTATTGAGTCAGGCAATGTCGTATACGGCAGCGTCTCTTGATCGAGAACTGTTGGACGAGGAGGAATCGCATGGATCAACTCTGTGTGGGAGTGATTGTGAAGAAGGCGCATTGTCTGAACTCGACCCTGGAGAAGTGGAAGTCCAGGTTTGTTTTTCCTGCTATGTTTGGGGTGGTACGGTTAGTTGTTTTGTTTCTAGTGTGGGCCAATGGTTCAGCCTTTTTTATATCTTGAAGCTTTCAAGCCCCGATATCATAGAACACACCAGTCTTCGAGCAGTATTTGGCTCCCCACTGTATGCACTTTCACGTTTTGCGTCGCATCAGCATATCGGCAGTATGTCTTCATTTGTTCTTCCCTTGGCTTCATGGAGCTATTTGGATCCTCACTTGCCGTCATTTTGTACAGACCTCCCAAATTTGACGGTGGTGATTTTCAGCCTGTTCGTGTTGCCTTTGAATGAGTTGCATGTTAGGTGGCTGCCACAGGCAGGAAAGCCGGCCTCAA